CACACACTTTTATGCCCATAAAGACACAAGTACAGACATGCACATATATACACACACACACACACACACACACACATACAGATGCACACACAGGAAAACATACTTGTCCACAAACACATACAGACACTCATACCCACACATATGCACACACACACACACACACATATATACCCATAAACACACATACATTCACACACATACAGACATATGTACACAGACACACATGTATATACATACATACAGATGTCCACACACATTAATTTGTTTAGAGTGTGTATGTGTGTAGTGTGTGCCCATGTCTGTGTGTGTATTTATATACATACACACTACACATGTATAGACACACACAATATTTAATTTAATAACTAAATGTTTCTACTAACGATTATTTCATTTGTCTGACAATTGCACATACGTGTTTATCTGTGTGTGTTACCAGACTGTGTGAGTCCGGCCTATCAGCGTGTTCTGAAGGTGGAATCGACCAATCGCAGGCCAGTGTTGATTCTGGGACCTCTAGTGGAGCCAATCAAAGACATGCTGCTCAGAGAGGCTCCTGGGAAATACTGCCGCTGTTTACCTGGTGAGGAGATCTGCTCACATTTCAGCTTTCCCCACTCATGATTGTGCTTGCATGATTGTGTAGCTCTTACAGCTGAAGTTGAGCTAAGGTTATGATAGTCCTGCACATCGTAAACCTCCATCTGAGGGCTTGAGGGCGCTCTTATGCAGAAACTAAAATAAACTTGACATTGTACACTCACCGGCCACTTTATTAGATATACCTTACTAGTACCGGGTTGGACCCCTTTTGCCTTCAGATCTGCCTTAATCCTTAGTGGCGTAGATTCAACAAGCTGCTGGAAATATTCCTCAGAGATTTTGCTCCATATTGTCATGATAGCATCACACAGTTGCTGCAGATTTGTCGGCTGCACATCCATGATGCCAATCTCCCGTTCCACCACATCCCAAAGCTGCTCTATTGGATTGAGCTCTGGTGACTGTGGAGGCCATTTGAGTACAGTGAACTCATCGTCATGTTCAAGACACCAGTCTGAGATGATTGAGCTTTATGACATGCTGCGTTATCCTGCTGGAAGTAGCCATCAGAAGATGGAGACACTGTGCTCATAAAGGGATGGACATGGTCAGCAGCAATACTCAGGTAGGCTGTGGCGTTGATGCTCAATTGGTACTAATGGACCCAAAGAAAATCTCCCCCACACCATTACACCACCACCACCAGCCTGAACCGCTGATACAAGGCAGGATGATCCATGCTTTCATGTTTTTGAGGCCAAACCGAATGTGTGAGCAGAAATGGAGACTCATCAGAGCAGCAACGTTTCTCCACTCTTCTATTGTCCAGTTTTGGTGAGTCTGTGTGAATTGTAGCCTCAGTTTCCTGTTCTTAGCTGACAGGAGCGGCACCCGGTGTGCTCTTCTGCTGCTGTAGCCCATCCGCCTCAAGGTTGGCCGTGTTGTGTGTTCAGAGATGCTCTTCTGCAGAGCTCGGTTGTAACGAGTGCTTATTTGAGTTACTGTTGCCTTTCTATCAGCTGGAACCAGTCTGGCCATTCTCCTCTGACCTCATCAACAAGGCATTTGCGCACACAGAACTGCCGCTCACTGGATATTTCCTCTTTGTCGGAGCATTCTCTGTAAACCCTAGAGATGGTTGTGCATGAAAATCCCAGTAGATCAGCAGTTTCTGAAATACTCAGTGCAGCTTGTCTGGCAGCAACAACCATGCCACGTGCAAAGTCTCTTAAATCCCCTTTCTTCCCCGTTCTGATGCTCGCTCTGAACTGCAGCAGATCCTCTTGACCATGTCTACATGCCAAAATGCAGTGAGGTTTCTGCTATGAGATTGGCTGATTAGACATTTGTGTTAACAAGCAGTAGAAGTAGAAGTACCTAATAAAGTGGCCGGTGAGTGTATGGTTTCTGAGTATTTATTGCAGTGTACTAGAATTTTAGTAGAACTGATTTTACTTTTTAAATAAAAGTCAAATGTGCATTTTAAATTAAAAAGTTTCAATTTTTATTAATTATATATTTTATAAATGGATGTTTCATAAAAAAAGATTTTTAAAATTTGCATGAAATTCTGCTGTAACGTCTTAGCGCTAGTGTTTTTGACTAAAAGCTGTGTGTGTGTGTGTGTGTGTGTGTGTGTGTGTTTGTGTGTGTGTGTGTTCAGAGGGCATGAAGGCGCAGCAGCAGGCCATCGAGCGCGGTGTTAAAGACTGTTTGTTCATCGATTATAAGCGGCGGAGCGGACACTTCGACGTCACCACTGTGGCCTCCATTAAGGAGATTACAGAGAAGGTCAGAATACCCAGAGATGGAAATAAATGCTGGTTAATTGTCCTGAAATTTGCATAATGTTCAGTTAAGTCATTATTCTTCCTCCTGTGAAGTGTTCGTTTTTTTTTCTTGATTTTCCCCAAGTGATGTTTAACAGAGCAAGCACATGTTTCGAACAGTTCAAGCTATCAGAGATTTAATTCGAACAGTTCAAACTCTTAGTGACTCGATTCAAACAGTTCAGACTCTTAGTGACTCGGTTTGAACAGTTCAAACTCTTAGTGATTCGGTTTGAACAGTTCAAACTCTTAGTGACTTGATTCAAACAGTTCAAACTCTTAGTGACTCAATTTGAACAGTTCAAACTCTTAGTGACTCAATTTTAACAGTTCAAACTCTTAGTTACTTGATTCAAACAGTTCAGACTCTTAGTGACTCTGTTTGAACAATTCAAACTCTTAGTGACTCAATTTTAACAGTTCAAACTCTTAGTGACTTGATTCAAACAGTTCAGACTCTTAGTGACTCAGTTTGAACAGTTCAAACTCTTAGTGACTCAGTTCAAACACTTCAAAATCTTAGTAAAGGGTGTCCTCAGGGTCTTTAAAGATTATAAAAAGTTTAAAAATACATGTAGAGAAATTTAAGACCCTCAAAGTATTAACAAGTCTTAAATGCTTTTTTTAGGGTATTACATTTTGGATCAGTTTGATGCAGATTAAATTTAGGCAATCTTTAACTATTATGATGCAGTGTAGTTTATGAAATTGATAAAATCCTTCTAGATTTGACATACATCGATTTAATGCAGTAACCAAGGCAACACTGTTGTATACGTCCTGCTGTTGTTTGCGCCACTTGCTGGATTAGCATTTTTATTGAGTATATGAATAATGTTTTAGTTTCTTACAGTCACTATTTAGTAAAAAATTTAAGTTAAATTGTCACCAATGTTAACAATTAATCCTAAAGTGGCAATGAGGTCTTAAAATGTATGGAAAAGGTCTTTAAAAGTTCTTAAATAGTATTTAATTTTAATTTTTGATTCCTGTATTCTTTGACACCCTGTAGTGACTCAATTCAAACAGTTTAAATTTTTTGTGACTCATATCAAACTCTTAGTGGCTCAGTTTGAACAGTTCAAACCCTCAGTGACTCAATTCAAATAGTTCAAACCCTTAAAGACTTGGTTCAAATAGTTTAAACTCTTAGTGACTCAATTTGAGCAATTCAAATTGTTAGTGACTCGATTCAAACAGTTCAAACTGTAAGTGACTCAGTTTAGAGAGTTTGAATGCTGTAAGGCTTAGCAATTTGATTGTAACAATAAAGGTGAATTTAACACTGCCTCTGTCTGTCAGGATTGTCACTGTCTGTTGGACATCGCTCCTCACGCTATCGAGCGCCTGCACGCCGTCAGCATTTACCCCATCGTCATCTTCATACGATACAGAAACGCCAAGCAGATCAAGTGAGAGACTCATGCATTCATTCATGTGTCTGCATGCACTGATGCCCATTTACACTCATCTATGCTTGTTTTACATCAGGATTCAGTTAATAAACTACAACTATTGGTTAACTTAAAAGTATTCACAATAAATAAAAAACTAACAACTGACACTGAAAAAAGAAGGAGAATAAGAATGTGCTGTGTGTGTGTGTGTGTGTGTGTGTGTGTGTGTTTTCTTCATGCAGAGAGCAGAAAGACCCTGTTTATCTGAGAGACAAAGTGTCACAAAAACATTCCAAAGAGCAGTTTGAGTCGGCGCAGAGGATTGAACAAGACTACAGCAAATACTTCACAGGTCTGATTTACATGCACGTGTCTGATTTCATATACATCTGATTATCTGTGCACATGCACGTGTCTGATTTCATATACATCTAATTATCTGTGCATATGCACGTGTCTGATTTCATCCATATCTGATTATCTGTGCACATGCACGTGTCTGATTTCATATACATCTGATTATCTGTGCACATGCACGTGTCTGATTTCATATACATCTAATTATCTGTGCATATGCACGTGTCTGATTTCATCCATATCTGATTATCTGTGCACATGCACGTGTCTGATTTCATATACATCTGATTATCTGTGCATATGCACGTGTCTGATTTCATATACATCTGATTATCTGTGCATATGCACGTGTCTGATTTCATATACATCTGATTATCTGTGCATATGCACGTGTCTGATTTCATCCATATCTGATTATCTGTGCACATGCACGTGTCTGATTTCATATACATCTGATTATCTGTGCATATGCACGTGTCTGATTTCATCCATATCTGATTATCTGTGCACATGCACGTGTCTGATTTCATATACATCTGATTATCTGTGCATATGCACGTGTCTGATTTCATATACATCTGATTATCTGTGCATATGCACGTGTCTGATTTCATATACATCTGATTATCTGTGCATATGCACGTGTCTGATTTCATCCATATCTGATTATCTGTGCACATGCACGTGTCTGATTTCATATACATCTGATTATCTGTGCATATGCACGTGTCTGATTTCATATACATCTGATTATCTGTGCATATGCACGTGTCTGATTTCATATACATCTGATTATCTGTGCATATGCACGTGTCTGATTTCATCCATATCTGATTATCTGTGCACATGCACGTGTCTGATTTCATATACATCTGATTATCTGTGCATATGCACGTGTCTGATTTCATATACATCTGATTATCTGTGCATATGCACGTGTCTGATTTCATATACATCTGATTATCTGTGCATATGCACGTGTCTGATTTCATCCATATCTGATTATCTGTGCACATGCACGTGTCTGATTTCATATACATCTGATTATCTGTGCATATGCACGTGTCTGATTTCATCCATATCTGATTATCTGTGCATATGCACGTGTCTGATTTCATCCATATCTGTTTGTTTGTGTGAATCTGCAAATGTTTTAGCGGATGTTGTTTGTGTTTCTCAGGTGTGGTTCAGGCCGGCGCTCTCTCCAACACATGCACACAGATCATGGCCATCGTGGACCAGGAGCAAAACAAAGTGCTCTGGATTCCTGATGGAAGCACGTGAAAAAAGTCCTGATAAACGCAATAATAATGACAACACTAGCAAAAACTCACACTGCTGCGACTCTCACTGCTGTAAACATCACTACTACACTCATAGGGCTGGGCTTTATATCATGGAGACTTATGTTTAACACGTCTGCTTATGTATGAACATATTTATCATGTAGTCAACTGTAGATTGGATTCTGTAAAGTCACCGTTTACAAATGTAAGATTCAATTCAAACTCCTAGTGACTCAAGTGGAACAGTTTAAACTCTTAGGGCTCACTCACATCCCCTCTCCCCCTCGGCCTGCACTCACACTGCATTTTTTATCCAGCGGACCTGAGCACACTTACATCATCAGGGATGTGACTGTAAACAGAAAGAGAAGTGCTCTCGCTCAGCACAGTGAGGATTGCTTTAGCTATATCGTTCTGAATGGTTTGGGATGCAGTGACACACAGTCAAATATGTTGCCGAACAGATCCAGCACTTTTGACGCTCTTAAATAATCTTAAAAGTCCTGGTGCTTCACGTATTAGGAGGTTTGCTGAAGGTGCAGCTGTGGTGCAGTGAGGGGTTTGTGTCTTTAATTAACTATGACACTTCGCTTTGATTGAAAATTAAGAATGATTATCAAATCTATACCAAACAGTCCCTTAAACGTCACGTCTCGTCTTCAGTTTCGGGCTCAGGCGCTCTTTGCACTCACACTACAAGCTCGCCAAGTAAACCGCACTCTGGCACACCTCTTGCAACTGAGCCAGGGGTGGCCAATTGAACTGCGCCTGAGCCCGATTCAGAGCACTCGCACTTCTCAAACAATCCTGGAAACGAGCCTGGGCACGGTTCAGATAGCATAGTGTGATTATGCCTTTAGTGACTCAATTTAAACTGTTCAGACTCTTAGTGACTCAGTTTGAACAGTTCAAACTCTTTGTAAATCAGTTGAAGCTCTTTGTTACTAAGTTGGAACTCTAATTGACTCTGTTTGAACAGTTCAATCTCTTAGTGAATCAGTTCAAACTCTTAGTGACTCAGTTTGAACAGTTCAAACTCTTTGTGAATCAGTTCAAACTCTTAGTGACTCAGTTCAAACTCTTAGTGACTCAGATCAAACTCTTTCTGAATCAGTTCAAAGTCTTAGTGACTCAGTTCAAACTCTTAGTGACTCAGTTCAAATTCTTAGCGAATCAGTTCAAACTCTTTGTGACTCAGTTCAAACTCTTAGTGACTCAGTTGGAACAGTTCAATCTCTTAATGGCTGTTTCTCAATATGCGTTCTTCAGCGGCCTTGCGTCCTCGTGTAACGTCATCATCAGCTGCCAAAGTTCAGTTTCAATACTTTAGACCGCAAGAACAGAGGACGCGTGAAACATCCCGGATATGTTCTTGATATCGAGGGCACACCGATGCAGACTTGGCGCGATCTCTCTCTTGAAGTCCCAGAAGTGATTGCGACTGGAGGTGGGAAGCGCAGCATTTTATTTAGATTTATTATAAGAGTTCAGAGATATGACTTATTTACCTCAGGAGTTTCCCTGAATGAAACGGTGAATATAAACATTAGCATGGACATCTTAGTAAAAGAATAAACACGTTACAGGTGTTTGTTTGCTGAAATTCATAATAAAATCAGTTTTATTTGTATTGTGCAGAGTATATTTCTAATGTTTTTATGCACAGTATATATTTTGAAAAGGGGAAAAACAATACATCGTTATATGAGTGCTGTAATGTTTAAATAATTTTCCATTTAAAACCCGTAAAGGTTAATTGACCATCAGGAAGAACGCAGCATCTCATTCCTCAGAGGACGCATTCTCTGTTCTCATGGTCTTCTGAGTTCGTTTTTCTGAGGACACCTGGCAAGACCGCTCTCCAGAAGAACGCAGGTCTGTTCTCTGTTTTCTTGGAATTGAGAAACAGCCAGTGACTCAGTTTGAACAGTTCAAACTCTTAATGACTCAGTTCAAACTCTTGGTGACTCAATTTGAAATGTTCAAACTTTTAGTGACTCATTTTGAACAGTTCAAACTCTTAGTGACTCAAGTTGAAGAGTTCAAACTCTGTGACTCAATTCGAACAGTTCAAACTCTTAGTGACTCAAGTTGAAGAGTTCAAACTCTTAGTGACTCAATTCAGTTCAGATGCCCAGTGACTCTTTTCAGACAGTTCAAACCCTCAGTAATATCCAGATTGATTGCAGTCATTTGATTCAGAGCTCCAGATCGGTTCACCTCGTCCCTCTCATGTTTATTTATATACTGTATGCTCCAGAATGTGCTGCAGTTCTACAGAGGGACTTCATCTATCTTTTGTATCTGTAGATTAGTAGATTTCTAATGAATGCCACTATCATTGCTGTTTACGTTATATTGTTCATTCCTTTCCCAGTGTTGAATATAACTCTACACAACGGATTTATTGTAGACTGAGAGGAACTCAAATACTTTATTAATTTAGTGCTTATTTAGGACTGGTAGCCAATTCCACATATGCAGCGATGACCTTTTATTTGATTTCTCTGTCAACAATAAATATATTTATGTGAATATCTGTTTATGTAAACACTGCTGTTTGTCCTTTGTTTACTTCGCATCTGTTAATGCTGGATTGTGATTGGCTGATGGTCTCTCTAATGTTCCTCAGATACAGACACGGCTCCTCCTGACAAGTTTACCCCAGTTTTCTCTTACTGAGGTCTGATTCTGATAAGCAGGATGATGCACTCTGCCTCACTGTATTATAAGATGATCGCGCACTGCAGATGTGTGACAACACCATTACAATTGTCAAATAATTCAACATCTCATTGTTAATTATTGATACGATATTAAAAGCCAGCTGTCATGTTAAAGAGCGTGTGATATAAGCAGAATAATGCACTCCTGGCCATTGAATTATTAGATAACGAGTGAGCTCAACATTATCTGGAGGAAACCCTATTAGGTGTGTGTTTCCTCCGGGTGCTCCGGTTTCCCCCACAGTCCAAACACATGCGCTATAGGGGAACTGATCAACTACACTGACCATAGTGCATCCGTGTTTGTGTGTGTGAATGAGTGTATGGGTGTTTTCCAGTACTGGGTTGCAGCTGGAAGGGCATCTGCTGTGTAAAACATATGCTGGAAAAGTTGGCGGTTCATTCTGCTGTGGCGACCCCTGATTAATTAAGGGACTAAGCTGAAGGAAAATGAATTAATGAATAATACAGAATAACAGAAATGACGATGCACACACAGAAAAAGGAGGGATTATCTCTTTAAGTGTGTGTGTGTGTATCTCATATGCAGTATATGTTTTAAGCATATAAACAATAAACGCTCATATTAGTCAAGACAAACATTAAAAATAAAAGATTTACGAACTTTAATTCATAGATTCCCCTGATCTCAGACTGAATGAATAAATAATCTGAGTGTGTATCAATTACTCTGGCATATAATGAAGCAGAAATATGCATTATAGAGAAATCCAACAGCTAAATACACAATCATTTGTGCAAGTTCATAATCTGTTGTAAAAACATGATCAGATGGATAAAACTGCTCTCACAAATGCTCATCATGATCAAGTTTATCATTAACTGCGTGTAGCGTTTTGATTTAATTAGTCAGTTTTTGTAAATTTGTGTCGTCAGATTTTTTTAGAATAAATCTGCATCTGTAAAGAAAAAAACTATATTTAAAAAATGAATGGAAAAGTCAGCGAGTGAGTGATTGACCCTGTGAGCGTGTGTTCTCCAGCTCGGCCAGCAGAGGGCGCCCCGCGCTGCTGCATCATCTCCATCAGCGGCGGCAGCAGGACTATTCCATTAACAGCATTCAGACTCTGCAGCAGGTGAAATATGAGTTCTGAATGAGTCTCTCCTACAATCACATGGCAGAGGAAGATTATTTGTCATCAAGCAGCAGGAAAGACAAGCTCACATTGATGCAAAGGTGAAGAATAACATTTACCTTCAACAACACATGCAAAAGACCAATAATCTGACTTTTATCTCCAGTGAAACATCATCTCACTGAGCTTTCGTAAGTATATTGCATTACTATTCACACATTTAGAGTAACTATTACTTATTAAATCATATTTTACTGAATTATTTATTTATCGATGATTTATTTTTTATTACGATGATGCTGAAATATTTATATTATTATTTGTTTGACAAGTCTCCATTTTCTTTTTGGCTTAATCAGTGAACGCCACAGTGGAATGAACCGCCAACCATTCCAGTATATGTTTCACACAGAGGATGCCCTTCCAGCTGCAACCCAGCACTGGGAAACACCCATACACACTTATTCACTCGCCCAGTTTAGTTGATCAGTTCCCCTATAGCGCATGTGTGAAACCGGAGCACCCGGAGGAAACCCACACCAACACGAGGAGAACATGCAAACTCCACACAGAAACACCAACTGACCCAGCTGAGACTCAAACCAGAGACCATCTTGCTGTGAGGTGATTGTGCTACCCACTGAGCCACCGTGACACCACATCTGAATCAAAGCAGCAGTAAATGTTCAGAGTCTTGATGCTCAGTGCCTTTTCACACACACACTGCGCTTCTGTCACCGTGATTGTACAGTAAACTGAGATCATACATCAGTTTACACTGAACTGTTGCTATGGTTACATTATAGTGGCTAAAGGGGTAGTTCACTCATCTTCACAATCTTAGACATTTCTGTGGCGTATTTAAACATGAGTTTCTTCTGCTGAATGTAAAAGAAGATATTAAGAAGAATGTTGACATCCATATTAGACAAATCAAGTACTATGAAAGTCAATGGTTACAGGTTTGGCAGAAGTAAAGTAAAGTGTAAATGATGACAGTGTTTATATTTGGGTGACTTCTACACTCTATAGCAGGGTCACCAACACCAGCTGCAGGGTTCAGCTCCATCCTGCCTCAACACACCTGCCTGGATGTTTCAACTATACCTAGTAAGAGCTTGATTAGCGGTTCAGGTGTGTTTGATTAGGGTTGGAGCTAAAATCTGCAGGACACCGGCCCTCCAGGAACAAGTTTGGTGACCCCTGCTCTAAAGCAATGCTGGGTTATTTCAACACAATTAAGGGTAAAGCAACTGCTGGGTTATTTGTTTCTTGTTAAATGTACGGGACCCAATTTAAAGGGATAGATCACCCAAAAAATACAAACTCTGTCAATATTCACTCACACTTGATCTGTTCCTGAACATTGATGACTTTTATTTTGAAGAATGTTGTAAATCCTGTAGCCCCTGACTGTTTTTCCTACTATGTGAGTGAATGGTTACAGGTTTTCAGCTCTCACAAAAGAACCTTTTGTGTTCAACAGAATGAAAAGCCTTGAAGTTTTAGAACAACTTAAGGCACAGGAAACAATGTCTACATTTAGATTGGGGGGTGAACTGCCTCTTTAACTCAACTTTTCCTATAATGAAAGTCAATGGTTTCAGGTTTCCTTCAAAATAAGGGCCAAAAATATAAATTCTGTCATTGTTTACTCGCTCTTTAATGGTTTCAGTCTTTTATCATTTTCTTTCTTCTCTTAAAACACTAAAGAAGATGTTTTGAAGAATGTTAGAAACCTGTAACCATAGACTTGCATAGTATTTGTTTTCTCACCATGAGTCATATGACTACAGGTTTCCAACATTTCTTCTTCAGTGTTTCAACAAAAGAATGACACTCATCAAGGTTTAAACCCAATTAAAGGGGCAGATCACCCAAAAATAACATTTATGTCATCATTTACTCACCTTTTACTTGTTTCAAAGGTTTATGAGGAGTTTCTTACTCCTGTTGAAAGCAAAAGAAGATATTCTGAAGAATGTTGGAAACCTGTAACCATTGAAAACCATTAAAATCTGAACCATTTCATCTCAACTCATTTTTTTATCCTCAGCTCTGTTTTCCCTGCTCTTTAAATCAATGGTTACAGGTTTCCAACATTCTACAAAATATCTTCTTTAGGGGTTTGATAGAAGAAAGAAACTCGTAAAGCTTTATAACCGCTTAAAGGGACAGATCACCTCAAAATAACAATTTCAATGTTGGGACTATGTCTCTCGGCTGGGAACGCCTTGGAGGAGGAGGAGCTGGAGGAAGTGTCTGGGGATAGGGAAGTCTGGGGTTCCCTCCGAAGACTGCTGCCCCCGCGGAAAAAGCGGCAGAAGATGAATGAATGAATGAATGAATGTTTCAAACCTTCATGAGTTTTTTATTCTGTTGAAAGCAAAAGATGTTTTGTAGAATGTTAGAAACCTGTAACCATAGACTTCCATCATATTTATTTACCTACCATGAGTCATATGACTACAGGTTTCCAACATTCTTTAAAATATCTTCTTCAGTGTGTAACAGAAGACACTCGAAGAGGTTTAAACTCAATAAAGGGAGGCAG